ATCCATCCAGGTCAGAGACATAGTCCCAGCGTGTCCTGGTCCTTCCACCCGGCCTCCATCAAACAAATCACTTCCTTCTGCTGTAATAAATAAACATGATGTCATAAAGCGTCTCATCTGCTCTGGTTTTTAACGTGTTCATGATCAGCAGTTCCTCAGAGTTTCTTCAGCGCCGCTCTTCAGCATCAGCATCCTGGACGGCTGCTGTCTGTAGATCCGATGACCTCTGACCCCTCCTGCTCGTTTCCAGGGCGGGTGCTGCAGATGCAGTCGACGCTCCCTCACCTGGACGGACAGGTTCTGCAGGCAGAATCAGTCCTTTCAGATCAACGTCAGCAGAGATTCACCAGATGAGTCTGCAGCTGTGGGAGGTCTTAGATGTTCCAGACAGATTGGTGAACGCCTCATTTTAACGTCCTCACATTTTTCCTTTTTAAAACAACCGGTTGTTAAAAATCAGGAAGAGGCTCAGCTGCATTTTAAACCCGACTTCCTTCTGTGTAAAACATCTGATGTGTTTCCAGCATGAATTATTTGTTTATAACCGAATATCGGACGAACATTTCTGTGATTATTGGTCCTCACAAATACATGATAAACATTCTTCCAAAGTGAAAATACAGAAACATGAAATCTAATCAGATCAATAAGAACCGACTCCTTAAAGTCTGTTTTATTCAAATACTAAGTTTCTATTTTTGAAGAGGAGGTAATACAGATTTAAAGCCGCGTATATTTTAACTCCTTCATTTTCAAACAAAGTCATTTTCCTTCTCTGTCAGAGAGAAAAGGATGACGTCAGGAATCCTTCTGTTGTGTGTTCTCATCAGCACCATTTTCAAACGACCTCCATCTTTGGACGTGAAGACGGCAGCAGACAGGCTGGATCGACCTCGTGCGGATTTAATGGCCGAGAAATCCGACAGTCGTCTGCATAGCGATAATATTTTCTCAGAACTGAACCTAATGAACACATGAAGAGAGAAGATAGTAAAGAACCAACAGCGGAGCCTTGTGGTACTCCCCTTTGCAGAGTCGTTTTTGTAAGGAAGTAGGTGTGGATCTAAGACGGGATAATAAAGAGGTTTTAGCAGATTAAACAGCCGCATGTTCAAAGGATTTCAGCGTTACAGTGGATTCCAGCGAACTAATAATGATGGTTCCCACCGAGCATCATTTGGTGGAAACGACGATATGATTTACGTCCAAACGGCGTCCATTTTGGTTGAAAGGTGAAGTGCCGTAAATTTCAGATCATTGCAAAAACATTCAACGTCTTTTTAACGCGTATCATTGGATTAAGATGGGACAAAGTCAGATGGACCAAACGGCCCAATGTTCAGCAATTATTTCTGGACTAAATCGAGGCAATGACGGAGCGACCACGGTTAGCCTTAAAACCGACCTCTGCATGACGTCTGGTGTTTGGGGGGTAATAAGGAGCCGCTAAAGACAAACCTCACTGAGGCTAGAAACCAGGAGTTGTAAGATGAGAAGGAAACAAGTTTAAACAAGTTTAAAATTAGCCAGTAAGTCCAGGCTTGATCTAAATCGTATGTCTCCTAAAGCCCAGGTCACAGCGGCTTTTTCATCTCAATTATCTGCCATTTTTTCCCCATCAAAGCGAATGCAGTGACTGCAGAGCCGCTGAGGGCAGCAGATCCTGATGGGTGCAGATTTTATCACCTCTCTCCCAGTTCCCCCACAAATTAAACCTATTTCCCACATTACACTGGGACTGGTTAGAGCCTGACTTCATGACCATCCTGCACAGGATGCTCTGAAAACCACAGAGAGAGGCTTTTAATTTATTACAATAGGAACTAGGTTTAAAGAAAAGGAAACTGGGACGGTTTCATTTGCTCTGGTTGAAGCAGAGAGACGAGATTCAAAGAGACGATCAGTGAAGCTTCTCCAAGCTGCCCCTTGTTTTTTTTTGTTTTTTCTGTGGAACTGCAGAGGTGGTGTATATACGGCAAACAGAACAATGGATGGGCTAATGAGCTGATATAGAGCAGGTGTGATGTGGAGGTTCCTCCATCTTTTTATATGCCTTTGTCCTTGTGCCTTACTGGACGGACCACCACATGTGAATAGAACTAACCAGAAGGGAGCCTAGCGGAAAGGAAGCGGGCACAAGGGGGCAGCAGAGAGTAACTCAGGAAATACAGAACTGACGGAAAAAACTACAAAGACACAGAATAACAAAAAACTAAAGATAAACTGTTAGCATAATTATCATTGATGATGTGTGAGTTTA